TGAAATAATCAAATGTGAAAAATATTGAAAACGCATTTATGGGAAGGTTTTGGGTTAGGTTAAGGCCCCTATGTACTGTGACCAGCTTGATTTATTGTGCACTCCTTTGTATTTAGACATTTAGTATCTCGAGGAATCGAAACAACTACTTCGGAGGGAGATTTTGAAGGTCTTCATCCTCTAGTTGTTATACATCTAAAATTTTGTGTCTTCTGTGGTTGGTGATCAGATGTTCCATAAACTCTTCTTCATCACAGCAGAATCTGCAAATATTAGTGTAGCTATTTATTGCATGTGTCGTGACGTGGTAATGCACTAGAGAGTGACTTTAGAGTCTTCTTGTATTTATATTAAAATTGGATCCCTATTTATTTCGTTGTGGCTACGCAGCTGTGTATCTTTAATGTTTCTTTAAGTTTTCATCTAAATCGAGAGGCGCTTTAATGCTTAGAATCTGGATTTGTTAAAATACTTTTTGTTGTAATTGTTATTGTTGTTCTTTAGCGTTTGTGGTATAGCATATTTCTTTGTGGTTTTTACTATGATTATTAATCAATTCTCTTAATATCATTTCATTTCTGTTTAACAATCATAAGGAGGAAGGACGCTGCTCAATAGATACAAACTTTTTGTATGTGAACGAATTTAAAAAAAAAAAAAAGTGAAGTCAATAAATTTCGCTCATTGAATTTTATGCTGTACGAATTCTTTTTTTTAAGATTAAATTGTTTTTTTTTCTTTAATGTTTTTATGCATATTTACATGTCTTCATATCTAAAAGTCTTGCGAACGCTGTACACTATGCGAGGTAATAAGATTTAACCCTTTGGCGGTATTTGAAAGGCGTTTACATTGCGTTTTAAAGCATTTTTATTACGTACCACGATACATTTTAATAGTCCACACATGCTATTAAATCAATTTAATTATCGATCATCAAATTGAAATTATGAAAATTATTTCATTTTTAGCTTTATTGAAAAAAAAAAATAAAGTATTTCATTCAAATGAAATTATAATTAAATAACTTCAAAAGGGAGAAGTTATTAACCAAATAATTTAATTTCGTTTCATTGTATTTCACAAAATTTTTACGGCAGCGCCATAAAAAAGCCCACACAGAATTACTTTGCTTTCTATTGGAGTTTCGTATTGGAGTTTCGTATTGGAGTTTCGTATTGGAGTCATATTGGAAAGCCTATTGAAGTCATAGTAGGCCGTAAAGGCAACTGAACTAACTACTAATCACGTAGGCTATATGCGCGGTATTTTCTCACAGTTTCCAGCAGTTAAAGTAGTTTAAAGGCCTGAATTTTGCGCAAAAAAATGTTCAATATTTAGAAAGTAACATTTTGTTATAATTAATTAGACATGTAAAATGATTTGCAGTAGTTCACATGCAAATCGTAACAAGCTGCAAATTAAAAATATTTTTTATCTTTCATTAACCCAGTTTCTCGCTAATAGTTTAATAGCAAATTTAACGATCACAAGGCAATTAAATATTCCCTTTATTAACGTGTATAGTTCAATTCGATTATGAAGTCTTTAACCCTATTACGAACATTGTGCGATAGAGTATGTTTGGGTAGTTAGTTATATGAAATAATTTTGGTATAGGTATATATATGTAGTTTTCATCACCTTGGCAATTTAGTTAATTTCCAACCGATCTAAGTCATTTTGATCAATTAATTTTATTATACACTTAGTCAGCAAATGTGTACGAAGCAATTTGCATATGAGAAGACCTGATGGGTATTGAGAAATTTCAACTAAAAATTTTACAAATTGGAAAAGCATTGACGTCTATGAAAATCTTAAGTGCGGTCTAAAAACTGTGATCTCTAATTAAATAACTGAAAGCCTTCAAACGAAACGCTAACATTGGATAGATTTTTTTATTTTATTTTGTTTTATAAATTTGTCGATTTTACTTGCAATTAATTTCATTATATACGTATGTATATATTATATTAAGAGTAACTAATTGTCGAAATACTGGTGAAAGCAAATCATCTAGGCATGTTTAATATAAAGCATTCTTACAGGTTTATCAATTGTAGATATTTTAATTAAGAGTTTTATAAAAATATTCAATTCATGTTTTGTTCATTTCAGTTCTTGATTTAGCCTCTTTCTATTAAAATCAGTTATGCTAAATTCACTGCTTTTTATGTCAAATTCTACATTTTTAAAATATTTTTAATTAAATTCTTTACAATTTAGTAACACGATATATTAACTGTAATCGAAGTTACTTAGTTCTACTAACCCATTAAATTTCTTGAAAATTGATTAGTTCTAAATACTGCCTAAGGAAGAAAACCTTATTTTTTATTAATTAATGTTAAAGCAACTCAATTTTGTTAAATGAATCTAAAGAACTTCTGCTTGGAGTAGCTGTGATATAATTAAAAACAATAAGGAAATGTGAAAATATCACTCATGCGGTTTCAATTAAAAAGTGCCTAATAAACATGAAACTAAAAAATTTCAATTTATCGCAACTTTATGAATTTCTATACGAATTTCGCTGCATTTAATAAAACTTAGTTAATAATTTACTAATTTAATTCTAACTGAATGCAGCCAATTTTCACCAATTTAGTTAATATTACCGCATTCTTTTCACAGTTGTACTTAATAACCTAATCCAAGATACTCTATAATCTACTACTATCTGCTATCGAGGAGTTATTTCCGCATTTACACACATCGTTAGCCGAAACTCGATATTCTACTCGAAGCGAAACAGCGCTGCTGCTCTCAAAAATTAAATAATTTGTTACTAAACATAAATTAGAAAATCAATCCTCGCGCCGCTACTCTCATTCGATTTCCCACCGGCAATGATAAATGATTTTCGAGGCATGTTGGTAACTCAAGTAGAGCTGCCAGCAAAAGCCACTACCAGCTACCAAGCAGCAGCAAAAACAGTGTTGTTCCTCTTCTAATTTCTGGTAAACCAGGCAGGCAGAGAACTCATTTGCTCGAGCTTCCTTACGTTATTATTCATACGTTCTGCTGTTCTATTATTATTTCTATAATTCAATTCTTTTTTCTCTTTTTTTTTTTCTTTTTTTTTTTTGTTTTCTTCAAAATAGACACAATTGCAGATATTATATAGCTGTGGGTTTGTATGTGAATGCGTGTTTGGCGTTTGGTATTTTAATTACATTTTACTTTGGCAACCACAAGCAGTGAATATTACAGCTATTCAAAGTGGTCCATCCACAAATCTGAAACCAAAACAAAAAAAAAATTACTAAATCATGCGTGCTTATGTCTTTGGCACTCTCCTCATATACTCCTCTGCATCCGCCACCTTTTCCTCGATTTATTGTGTATCTAAGACTGATGCGTTAAACGTGCTGCAGTCATTTAGCTAATGAATGTCGATCGCAACCTCTTGAACTTGCGCCCATTTTTTGGCGTCCAGCTAGTAATCGTCGCTGCGCTGAACCCTATTTTTAAAGAAGTTACGTATTTTTCGTTATAATCTAGTTTTGCTTATTGCTTTCCATTTTTTACCAACATTTTTTTTTATTGGTTTATTGTTCCATTCAAATTTGCCACCTGGGTGGGTTCACTGCAGACGCTGTAGGCTGAGGCAAAGGCATGGAATGAAATAGCAAAAGAAAAAGAATATAAAACCAAATTTGCTTTGACTTATCCTAAGTAAATATATAAGAAATTTTTGTAAAACAATGACTTAAAAGTTCTTAAAATTAATATAAAAATAAATAGAAATTAAATAATTCGATTATTTGCTAAGGCCATTGATAATGAGTACTTGCCAATACTTGAAACAGCATTGTATGGTCAGCCAAATTTCAATAAATTAACTAAAATGTTTGTTGTTGTCTTTTCATTTCTATGCGAACCCTTCTAACTTCTTCTAAATAGTTTTTTTTCGTTATAAGACGCATCACTTTTGGCAAGAAAAAATTGACACAGTCACTTCGAAAACTATGCGAGACCACGGGAGACCACGATCTCTCTACAATGATAAACCTATTAAAACTGTTTTGTCATTATATTATTCTTATAATAATCTCAAAAGTAATCAATTCAGGGGTCAAGGGTAAACAGAATAATTGAATTTTGCAAAAATTAATCATGCATCTATCTAGATCAGAGTCTTATTCGTAGATTGATGTAAGTGGGTCTAAAACCATGTCCAAAAGTTTTTTATAAATAAATGATGTTATTAATGTTAATGTGATATTCTTGATAACATTTATTATTATTGTGACATTCCGGATAATAGGATAAAGAGCTATTTCATCCTTGATACTTTTGTAAGACGTCCGTTACTGAATTAAAAATCTTGAAGGATTATGTAATAGATCCCCAATGCTGTCAGGATCTTACTGATTTAAGGGTCTTACTGATTTAAGGGTCCTACTAAGATCATGTGATACCACAATACTCTTATTTGGCCTCAGTGTTTCGACTACTATTTCAAAAAGTCAGTCGACTTTCATATACCTTCTAACTTCAAATCGGTAAGCAACAGAGGAAATCAGTCAAATCAATATCGTGCTCCACTAAACCAATGTATTACCCTTTTTTCTTTTTTTTTTTTCTTCTATTTGATTTTTGTTCGACTGAAACAATTTAAACAATGGCAAATGATTAAATGGTTTCAATCATTCTCAGAAAATATAATTCTCAGGTACTTGAAATACTTTTTGCAAGCTAAAACTGCTTTTTGTATTTTTTAAGTAAATTCGGTTACTGTCTAAATCATAATCCCCAATGATAATTCAAATTTTTGTAATAACTGGTATTGTTTATTGTTTAGTAAAAATAAATAACTAACAATGTAAAGTTTTCAAAAATAAATCCGAATTGATTAGATATACTATACGTATAGTACAAATCTACAATAAATTAGATTTCAGTTACGCATCGCATGAAATATTATACCCGTCAGTCTTGTTCACATTACATATTGCTTTTTAAACGGAATGTACAACTATTGATACTAATTATTACTGAATATCTTCAGAAGGGTTATATGTAATGTCAATAAGTGCAACAGCTGATTTACATGCAGACATCTTTAAGTTTTCAACTTTTTTATTTTCCTTTTGAATCTTCAAGTCTTCAACTTTTTTATTTTCCTTTTGAATCTTCAAGTCTTCAGCCTTTTTATTTTCCATTTGAATCTTCAAGTCTTCAACCTTTTTATTTTCCATACGAATCTTCAAATCTTCAACTTTTTTATTTTCCATTTGAATCTTCAAGTCTTCAACTTTTACATTTTCCTTTTGAACCTTCAAATCTTCAACCTTTTTAATTTCCTTTTGAATCTTTGTAGTTTTGTTTTTAGCCACAGCGCCTGCATTTGAAACGGTATTCTTATTGCCATCCTTACGATTAATAAATTCTGTCATTAACGAGTCGACATCACCAGGAGATGAAGTTGTTTTTATCTTTAAGTATTGTTGCGAACTTTTCGTACTTGCTCCCTTTAGACCATTTTCTTCCACGATGTCCATTAAACCCTTTCCATACTCTTTTTTTAACACAGTATTTTCATTGTGTACATCGTCTAGACGTGATACCTCAGAACTTGGTTTGACACATTTTGAAATGGGTTGCAAAGTAGGTATATCCGTAGAGTCATTATATTTGGTTGGATGAGAATAGTTTTCTTCATTATTTGAAAAACTTTTAGCTTTTTCTGCATATAATTGCAAAGCAGTCTTTAAACTATTACTAGGACCAGTAATCTTTGGTGAAGGTGAAACTGAAGCATTTTTCTGCTGACGGATAGATTCATAATAATTGTCCACAATTTTCGATGTGGGTTGCTTTGACATCTGTTTCCGTGACGGTTTCTCATGTACTGCATATCCTTGAAGTGGGCTACAGTAAGTTTTTGTACTTGCTTCTAATAAGTATTTTTCGTCCAATCTTGTTTTATACTCATATGGTGTATACTTATTATAACTTTTCACTTCACGATGATTACTGAAATTATATATGCCCGATCCTCCCAATTTTTTGTATGAGCTTTCAATTTGTTCTTCATCGTTATGTTTCCTTTGCTCCACAATGACGATCTTCGGACCATTGTCATATTTTTTTGCAAAGGATCGCGTAAATACTTGCATTAAATTTTTAAGTCTGCGGGACATTTCAGTTTGCGTAATTCATAACCATTTCAATATACCTCTAAACTTCTTAATTATGGAGACCTAAGAATTTGTTAAATTTGAAAAATATTTAAAAAGTTATATTTGTTAATTTCAATAACTAGCAAAACTATATGAGAAATATAATCGTAACTTTAATCGAAAAATGTATCTAACCTCACGCCCAGAAAATTGTTACTAAAAATTCGGATCTCTTGTCGAATACGAACAAGAGCTCATGTCCAGTTATATTTGGTCCCAGAGTATGGGAAATCGCTACAATCAATTTCGAACAAATAACTTTCTATAAATCTTGTATATCATAAAACCTTTCTATCTTAAAACCAAAAATATTTTTATGACCAGAAAACGAAGAAATTTCAAAACAAATCTTTCGATTTTTCAAAGATTAAAAAAAAATTTTTGAAAACTACAAATTATTTTTTTTTAAAAGTCAGAGATAACTACGTTTAACAAAAATAACTTGGACGAAAAAAAATTGATTATACATAGAATTATTCCATACCTCATTCGGTGATTTATTTAGATACCCTTAGTTGTAGGGAGCTAAAAAAAAGGAATTTAGCATCAATGTCAAATTGTTAAAGAAGTACAATCTTTTTGATATATAAGTAGAATTCTTACCAAATGAACTCCTAGTTACTGCTGTAGATAGAAGATAGTAACAAATCATAAATTATACTCAATCTACATCACTTCTTATAGATGATCAAAGTTATGTATGAAGCTCAGTATATGCAGTTGAATTTTATTAAGGTCAAAGGAGCACAGGAACGGATACAATCGATTCCAATAAAATTTTAAAATCTTTCTTAATTTTACCCAAAAATTTGTGTGACCTCCGAAGTTCTTTTCACAACCGGAACAAATTTCGAAACAAATCTTTTATAAATTTGAATAAAATTTTTTAAGTTTATATATTATTTTTTTAGAATTTGTAAGTGAACTACGATTAACCAAATAATATATATCCTTTGAATAATCCTCTGAATAAATGATTAATTAATACAAATGTCATTAAACGCTAGAAGCTCCACAAGGAAGTTTAGGATCAATGCTGAACATCTATATAAAAATACAATTTTTAGGATATACAAGGTTCCCTATGCAAAAATGGATTGCTTTTAAACATAAGTCAGCCTCATTTCTCTATTGACAAGTACTATTAATGTATTAAACAAGGATGAAAGTGAGAAATCTTAAGGAGTTCCTCACCAGTTAAAGTTATTTGACTTATATTTAAGATTTTTCATAAAATGTCAAACGAAAATTTTGTTAGACTAAAGCTGCAAATAGGATTGATCTCCGAAGACTTCTTTAATGAATCATAGTGGTATAGTGATTTCTGATTTCCAAAAACAGTAATATATTAATCTTATTTGCTCAGGACAGAAAGTGTGCCACAAAGACTATGGCTTCACAATGAACGCCTGTTCAAAGCCTTAATGCAATGATATCACTGTTATTTAGACATGTGTACGCAAGTTGATCCCTGCTAAATGAAAAAAAATCGAGCAATCTCAATAAGACGTCGAAAAAATATCAGTCGTACTGAATTTATTTCCACTGTTCCAAAAATCTATATGCAAATTAGTTCCTGTAAAATAAGAAGAAACCAAAAAAACTGATTGAGACGATCTTAAGACTATAGCTGGACAAATCTAAGGGGTTGAGTTTTTTAAAACATAGAGTCACTATTATCTGCACCTACGATGCTCCATAAAGGTATCATCTTAACATATAGATTGAGTTTGCTAACAGTCTCTGCCCTTTAGCTAACCACACCAGAAGATTAAGTCTTCGCTTCAGTGATTCTTACCACAGAGAGCGGCTTCACATCTGTTTTGTGGTTATACAGCGCTATAACAATTAACATAAAACAATTCGGTCGTAGACCATGTACGTTCAAACAGGACTCAGTACCGTTTTATAAAGCTTTTGTGAACCAAGAATGTTTAAAAAATTATATTCCACACTTTATTTCGTTCACACAATGGATTTCAAATTCGTTAGATGCACTCCGATGAACTCTATTCTATTTGAACCATTTTCGCAAAGTGAGGACTGAAAAATATGACAGTATCGATGCGTTGACGAAAGTAATTCTTCAGGAATGGGTCAAAATACTGGAAGGTCACACTCAAGAAGCATGCAACTTATTGTTTAACAGTTTGAAGGCCATAGTCAAGGCAAAAGGTGGCCACATCGAGCTAGAGTGAATGAATGATTCTGAAATTTTGAAAGATATAGTAACACTTTAATATGAAATGCTTCGTTTAACTGCGTATAATGAAAATATTAGTAACTATTATAAATTGCTAATATTAAATTAATATTAAATTAATAATAGGTTATTGATTAATTACTAATTATAGTTTAGTGGTATGTCCCTCGTATTTTGTTTGGATTTTTCTTCAAATTTATTCGTTTCATGTTTGATATGTTTTTTAAATTTTACTTCAAATAGTATTCAATTTTATTTTTTTAAAAACTTTTAAATAGAATAATAAAGCTAAATGTCTATGCATATTCATATGCCTTTTCTTAACACTATCGATTAGAATATAGAATATTTTCTTCTAACATGAACACACATTATACCTCTCATATATCAATCTCAACAAATTATTTCCTTCTGCAACCTAATGATCTGCGTAACTACGTGCAGATTTCAGTACCACAAAAAACATCAGCACCACATCTCTTCTCTGTGTGGCAATAGTAAAAAGGTTCATGCATTTATCAGAAATAAGACTACAGTCTTCAAAAGGAAATTAATGTGAGTGCTTAGAATTTTTTTCATATTCGAATTTATTTTCAGATTAGAGTAACGATAAGTTACGCTTAATTAGATCGATCGTGTGCACTCAAGACACTTTAGCAAAGAAGAGGAGTGCGAAGAGAAGGTAGAGTGAAGAGTCGCAGCAACTTTTGCTATAAAAACAGTGCAACTGTTGTTCTATGATTACGGATTAGGCCTAAGATTAGAGCCACTCAAGCCTAAATTGGAATCACGATGTTGCTATTTATCTTAAATATCATATCTAGCAACGCACTGATTTCATTTAGCTAAGCTGGAGGATCACAACTGGTCGGGTTAGGCGCGTTGAGTACGAAAACATGTGTGCGCACTTCAGTTTTCATTAATTTTATTTTATTTTCGATCTGCTCTTGTTTCATTGCATTTAATTTCGAGTAACTGAAAGACAAAATGCTATATTCAAATGATAATCACTTTCCGAGTTACTTTTCCGCGACTTCTTTGACTTTTCCTCGGATGAGTTGTTTGCATAGGAGTAAAATAAATTATTTTTTATGTTACCTAAATTGCGGAGCATAGATTATGTATTTCCTACAGGGGGGCCAATGTGAAACGCTTATACGACTAGTTTACAGTCGAAGCCATATGGAAGCCATATTGTATGTCAATGTTAACAAACACCCTGTATTTAAATTGTTAGCATTTATACGATATTTACTTAAATTTAAAATTCATGCCAAAATAATTTGCAACTGTAAATGCAGTAGCTACGATTGTTGGTGCTGTTGGTGGTGCTGCTGATGTTGCTGGATGTTGTTACAAATACAAATGTTGCTGTTGATTATGTTGCTGCCTCACTTTGCAATTGGAAAGTAAACCATTAAAAACATTATCCATAAACTTTAGAAAAATGAATGAGTAAAAAAACGGGTAACAGCGTGAAAAGTGGCAGACTTAGGCAATTACTTGCCAGTGTCTTTTGCTGCTCGCGGCCCGTTCTCCTGTTAGCCACGCTCAATTACTGTGTTGAGGCGGCGCCCAATAATTGAATTCAATTTCTCCACTTTTCAACACAATCCAAGAAAGCCAGAAATCTGCTTAAGAAAATACTTAATTGAATAACTAAAATTTTGATCGTGAATGATGTTGCGCACAAAATGCTTGTCATTAAGGCTCCGCAGTGATATTGTAACTTTTTATATGCACACGCGTGATTAACGTTGCTCATACGTAAGTTTAGCGATCTTAAACAAGTTTGCTTGCACACAATAGAAAGCTTTTTCTTCTTCTTATTATTTATAGTAGAAAATCTAAAAAGAAATATTTTTTCTTTGATATCATTCAAATAATATTCACAGCAAAATTTTGATTCCATTTAGCGAAAGAACGACCGTTATGCAAATTCAACAAACAAAGAACAGAGCAAGTGATTAGTTTGATTCACCCGTCACTGACCAATATAATCAATGTTCTCTTATATTCTCTTATATTCTCTAATATCTCTAATTCTCCTTCCAATGACTTGGGTAAGAATAGTGACTGACTATTAAAGAAGAAATGAGATAGACAGAATGTATTTTCAGTATACTCTGTTGATCTGTAACAAGATAACCATTATCATTCTTATATGTTGATGCTCCAGGTTTAACCCTTAGAGTCAAACTGTTTTATTTTTCATATAATTTACAGGCATCATTCCTATGTCTATACACCGTGATGTCCTGATGCTCGCACCTTTCTTGATCTTGTTACTTCGGTCTAAAGAGATTCCCGTCTTTGTCTCTCATGTTCATACTCATAGGCACTATTCCTATTTTAACATTCCTCGTTGTTTTGGCGCTCATGTCTTTCTTGATCTCATTCTTACGGTCTAAAGAAGCACCGCTCTTCCTGCTTCATCTACCAATTTTGTTCGTGCTCGACTTGTTTATGGCTCCAGGGTTTTTTATAAGCTACACAGCAGTAATAGTCTGGCTACACTACAGCTCCTTGCTTAAGCAGAAGATATCGACAACATTGGATAAAGCAAGAGTGATGTTATATCTGTATTTGCTGCTCTCCAAAAAGGAGTCTCCAAAAATGGACATAAAAGGGCGAATGAGAGTAAAACGAATATATATTAGCTACTGACAAAAATGTGCTTCGTTCAAAGATTTCATCTATTTTGGTGCCTTCTTGGCAAACAACAACAATGTCAACCTGAAGATCAGAAAAAGAATAATCATTATTAATAGGTGCTACTATAGGTTCAGTTAGCAATTGAAAAGTAGAGTACCCTTTCGTTTGACGAAATTTATGTACGCTGAACTAGTGGTTAGCGGCTAGGACGTCAAGGATTTCATATATCTTGAAACCATCGTAAGAAGAAACAACGGTGACAGCCTGCAAATCGTATAAAAATTACTATTGTCAATTGATGTTACTATGAGCTTAATAAGCAATTGGAACGAAAAGCTCTCTATGGACAAAATTTACGGTGCTCATCCTACCTGTGCTTCTGTACGGCATAGAAGTATAATTGCTATAACAAAATGATGCAACAGCTTTGCGAGTTGTTGATAGAAACGCTTTTTGTAAGATCTTCGATCCTTTACTAATTGGCGACGA